GAGAGAGAGAGAGAGAGAGAGAGAGAGAGAGAGAGAGAGAGAGAGAGAGAGAGAGATGCATGCATAAAATGCATAGGGATTAATTTATTTAATTTCCTTTTCCATGCATGCATATCCAATATTATATTGGTGGCACAACATGTTATTTAGGGTTTCGTATAGGAGTATTAAGAGAAAATCGAGTCGAGACGAATGATTCTGCAGATTTGTTTGTAATTTTATCATGATTTAAAATGTATAGCTGATCTTTAATCAATTAAAAATTGAGTCGAAATCGAACAAACTTTAATCTGATTAAAAACAAATTGAAAAAGAGTAGCTAGATTTTTTTAATAAATATTTTTTTATCAAAAAATATAATAAAGTCTTTAATGGATCGAGGGAGGCCCAATAGAAGCAACTTTAATGGATTGATTTTCGTTTTCGGCCTCGGATCCACCACCTCCGACGCCGTTCACGGCGGCGAAAATGTCAGGCCGCCGCCGCCGCTGAAATTTGATTATAATATTATTATTTTTTCATGTGGGGATTATAATGATAAATAATGAGGGCCCAATTTGTTTTGTGGGATTATGATAATATAATGGTGGGCCCGCGTTAAGCACCTACTTCACTAATAAAAAAAAGTTAAATCGTTAACACTTATCTTGTACTTAAGACCTAATTAGATTAATCGATTCTCCTGTATTAGGACTGGAAATATTATAATATTATGAGCCAAGTTTGCAATACTAATCATTACAACATTTTTAATTTCTTTTCTTACAAATAATCAATTTAAATGGGAAAATATCTATTTCAAAATTATGAGAGATTTTTTAATAAAGAAAGACTAACTAGTCCTTATTCGCATTTAAATAATTAAGTTTTCTCTGGCTCCTTTCCTTTTATTTTAAGTATCGTTTAAAGAAACTAATAAATATGCATTAATTTTATTAAAAATATATAATATGAATAAAATGTACCCATAATTTGTTCTTCATTAATTGTTTCTTTTATTTGTGAGAATTAATGTTTGAAACTATTTATGAGTTAGGAGGAGGAAATAAATAATAAACATTTAATGTATTATTAAAAATGTGAAATGATAAATTTGGAGGAAAAAAAAAAATCACCAAAACAACAATTTAATTAGAAATAGAGGTGACTAGTTTATATTATCAAGGGCAAATTACGCCAGTCCAGGTTAGATCAAACTACAAAAGAATCTTATGTTTGTATAATTACAACTTCTACATTCATGTTTGGATAATTACAATTACTACTCTTAATTATGTATTCTCTTATGGAAAAACTCTTTTTTCGATAAGTAAATTCAACACCATAAGAGAGACTTAAGGACGATAAATAGTTATGAGTACTTGTAATTACCAAAATATAAAGAATTTTTTCGTAATTTCAGGATAATTCAGGTAACATGGTTTATATTTTAAATACTATTAGTCAAATTGGAGTGGGGTTCGAACAGCAAGTTGTGATAAATTAAATATTATATATAATATATATATATATATTAAAAATATTATTTATGTTGTCTTTTCTTATTCAGGACAGATATTCATGCAAGATTATCACTACAGCACACCCACACAAAAAGACACAAGTCCCATAAATAGCAAACTGAATTTTGATTGGTACAAAAATTTGTCCCCTTTTTGAAGAAGAAAAAAAATAATACTTCGAATATAAATCGGATAATCAAAAAAAAAAAAACCCCTAAAAGAACCAATCATCATAAATATATCACAAAATCAAACCCAGTATGGAAGCTGATGTTTTGATTTTCTGAAACTCCGCCACGAACAAGAAAGAAAGGGAAGGGGGTGTGGTAAATTGGTTTCAAAAAGGGGGCTAAAGTTGAGATTTTTAATAATTAGGGCTCAGAGAGATGTTGAAATCCTGGCTATTTTTGTGGTGCCTTTTGTGTTTAATGGGTTCTTTCGGGGCTTATTGCAATGTCGTTTTGACAGTCAACAACGTTACTTCTTATTTTCAAGACATTGAATCTAATTTTGGTTAGTTTTTTTTCTCCCTTCTTCTTCTTCTTCTTTATCTGTTCTTCCAATTTCAGCACCAGTTATTATTTTATTACTATTTTTTATTTATTTTTTTATTTTTTGTGTGTGTCGGATCTTGAATCAGGGATGCCAGGTTGTTATTTTTATCAAATTTGTGCTAATGGGTTTGTTTAACTTGATTTGTTTGTTTGTTTTGTTTTTTTCAACTGAAGCAACTCAATGCCTCTTAATTTCAATTTAGTGTGTTAAGTATTTCTTTAATTTACAATATTTAAGCCTTTCTTGAATTGTTTGTGGTGGAAAGTTTTGGTTTTTATCTGATAATTGAAATCTATGAAGGATTTTTTATGCATTCTCATGCTTAAATTTACTCGGGGAATTGTGGAATTGGTAATTCGTGTTCATCCATTCCTTTGTTCCAGTTCGATATCTCGGAAGTGTTTTTAATTTTATGAAGTTATCGGTTGTTTGTTTCGTAAATCGGTGTCTATATTTTGCTTTAATCGATTAACGAGCCATTGACTTATACACAAGTCTCGAAATTTTCAGCTCCATCGGTAAAAGTGACTGGGATATGCGGTACGATATATATAGCAGAACCTGTAGATGCATGCTCAAAGCTGACGAATAAGATAGTTCCGAAAACGAATGACACATCATCGTTCGTGATGATAGTCAGAGGAAATTGTAGCTTCGACGACAAAGTCAGACGAGCGCAGTCTGCAGGTTTCAAAGCAGCAATCGTCTTCGACAATGAAACCGATGATTTAGTTGCAAGTACGTCTTATTACACAATATGGCCTTTTTGTGTACATATACTTTTACGCATTATTTATTTAGGGGCGAAATTTTAGAATTGACGATTGATGTGTGAAAAAATTGCAGTGGCTGGAAATTCAGCTGGTATAAAAATACCAGCAGTGTTCGTTTCGAAATCTTCCGGCGAAACACTAGCAAAGTATGTGGGGTCCACTGATGCGAATATATGTATTGTACCGAGTTCAGAAAACTCCGCGTGGTCTATAATGGCTATCTCTTTCATTTCGTTGCTCGCCATGTCAGCAGTCTTGGCTACCTGTTTCTTTGTCCGAAGGCATCGGATTCGAAGAGAACAGCCACACGCACTATGTGTGCGAGAATTTCACGGTATGAGCGGGCGTTTGGTCAAAGCCATGCCTAGCCTTATCTTTACAGCTGTACTCGAAGACAACTCCACTTCTTGCACATGTGCAATTTGTCTTGAAGATTATATCATGGGAGAAAAGATCCGTATTCTCCCTTGTCGCCACAGTAAGATCGAATTTCTCCAATTTTCTCCAACTTTTTTTTTTTTTTTTTTTGTTTTTTTAATAATAAAGATTCGTTTTTTATCCAACAGAATTCCACGCGATTTGCGTGGACGCATGGTTAACAACGTGGAGAACATTCTGCCCCGTGTGCAAACGTGACGCAAGAACCACCACAGGAGAGCCGCCAGCATCGGAATCTACGCCGCTGCTGATGTCATCATCGAACTCCGTTTCTTCCTCGTCTGCTTTGTCCTCTTTCAGATCCTCGTTGGCTTCTTCTTCAGCCATGCAAATAGCTCCATCACTTTCTCGAAATCCTTCGTTTTTTTCGCGCCATCAATCTCTATCCAACACTCCTCATTTGTATCCTCATTTAGGTACGAGTAGGAGCTCCATCGATCTAAGAAATGCTTCTTCATCACAAAGATCCAACGGTGGTTATTTAGTTTCACCTCACTCGTTTGGCTACCCTTCTTTATCATCTCTGAATTCGAGATACATGTCACCGTATATACCGAGCCAGGCAAATGCTTCTTCGAGTTACCTTGGATCTTCTTCGATCCGTCAGGCGAATACTCTTCATTACAGCGAGTCAAATGCGAGCTTTTCACCGTTTGCATCTGCACAGTCACTTCCTGATTGTTAACTACTGTTCACGAAATGTTGTTGTTCACAAGGGTAAAAAGGTCAATTGACAACCAAACTTGTACATTGTAGCATATAAGGTTTTTGCTTGCAGAGATTCTCATTTTTGTGATTCGTGTTGTGTTTTTTTGATTTTATTTTTGTGGGATCTTTTTTCGGTGTGTATACGTTAAATATTTCAGAATCAGAGTCATAAATTAATACTATTTGATAAGTTATGGTCATCGTTCCTCGGTAGAATAAACAAGAAGAAGCAAGAGTTTATAAGGCTTAGTGATGAACAATAGATCGGGAAGTAGCAAAAGATTCCTCGTCATAAATAATAATACAGACCAGTACTTTGTACAGAAACGAAGTTGATGTTCATCTAAGTTCCGATAATTTAGCAATTAACAACAATAATCTATCTAAACTTGTCTGAATTACAGAAAAAAGCGAAATAATTATGCGCAAAATTGAAACGATGCGTGTAACACAATCAATCCTCCTTATCAGTCCTTACATCATTGGACTGGTCTCGAGTGCCAACAGTCAGAGGTTCTTCCTTAGTCATAAACAGGATCATAGCCATTACCACCACCACGAAAATTAAGATGAGAGCAATTCTAACACCAAATTGCGAGTTTATGAATCCGACTAAGGTTGGACCTGAGATTTGCTTTTGTATTACATTTCCTTCTCTGTAGCCTTCAAGAAATCTCGACACTTGGGTGCCCATGTCGTTTTCTTCTATGCTTTCTGAACCAATAACCTGTTCAACCACAAAAACCAACATACGCGACCTTAGAATATTGGGGAGTTAACAGCATCAATGTCATACTTACAAACTACCCAAAGAAGGAAAAATAAAATAAAAATTAAAGCACCACTTACAGTGGAGTACTGTTCATCACCATCCCATACAATCATCTTGGGAAGTGGAGTTTTCCTGTAAACTTCGAACGATTCGACAAATTCTTCCCACTGTTTGAACCCAACATAACCAAATATCAAGTCGCGATTTGCAGAGGCGGCAGCCTTTAGAACTTTTATTACTCCCTTGGATTTGTCATCTTCTTCATCCTCCAAGATAGTCACAACAACTTTCCTTTGATCGTCTCTAAGCGATTTCAATGAATCTAGACTTATGGGTAATACCAGAGGGATCAAGCTCTGTTTTATATAATCTTCAAGAAACTTTTCTGCAATTCAGAGAAACAAAGATCAATTCCTGATTTATATTATAAAACTAAATTAAAATTAATGATGAAATTACAATTAGAAAAGGTCAAATGTTAGAAAGTCATATGATTCATTTAAAATTGAAATAACTACTGGTTTCAAACAAAAAATTGGCAATCAGCAGGCTAACCTTCAAATGGCCCATAAAAGATACTCTGTTCATTGTAGGCTGGATGTATTGCAGCCAAAGCCGGCACCTTATCGAAATCATACAAGGACATGATATCCTCTGAGAAATCATTGGCAACAGAAAACCAGGCTTTCTTCTTATATTTAGCTGCCATATTTGATATCATGGACTCATTCAAGCCAAAGCCTATGAATACAGGAAAATTTACGCCTGCTGATTCAATAAAGCTTTTGATAGCAGAGTCGGAACTGAGATTAGTGACAGCAGGAGCAACAAATTTTGTCAAAAATTGAATAAGTAGATCAGCTTTCCGTGGTCCGTTATATTCTGTAGGAACTCCGTGCATAAAAACCTTTAGAGTCGGATACCCACTGCATTAAATAGAATAAATATTTGTGAGTACCTTCTCCATTATATTGGATCTCAGGAGCATTAACCAATTTTCTATTTTACTCAATACGTACTCAATATCATGCTCAGAACCAATCTTTCTGTACTTGTCCGCATCTACCTTTGCTACAACTACGGGCGGATTCAATCCAGCTAGAATAGGCGCCGCTTTATCTAACTGCAGTGCAAAGTTCACATTCGTCATTCTTCTTTACACATGGTATAATATAATGACTCAATTTGATACCAGGAGCAACTGGGGTTCACTAATACTATACGATGAACTCATAGAAACACGATACAGGGAGGTAAAAGTAGACAGTTGCATTTGTTGATTCAATGAACATTTTAATCGGATCGATAAAGTCCCAACTGAAATAAAAAAAACATTGATTTAGAACTTCTCTTGGTGAACGAAAAATCTCCCGTTTTACCAGTAAAAGGAACAACCCATAGTCCTGCCTAATCACATATAAAATCATCAACACCCACAAGCATGGGATCACAACTTTTTTTTTCATCAGGCTAACTGAAAATATTTTGGTATTCATAAGTTTAATCCATTTTAAACAGTGATTTCGGCAGTTTTTTTTTTTCTCAATAAATCTTAAACCTGCAAGCAACAAGCATGTCAATACAACTTAAGCACACTCATCTATGTTAGTACAAGCAGAAACTCAAATCAATAAATTGAAATCCAATAGAAAACCTAAAAATGATTAAATAAATAAACCTCAGGCGCCAGACGTTTGCAGTGACCGCACCAGGGAGCATAAAAATCGACGAGAACATAATCGAAATTGGAAATCGCGGCGTCAAAATTGGAATCGTGAAGCTCCAACACTTTGCCATCCAACTTGAACTGATTTTCCGATGCGGCGGCGATCGGCGGAGAAAGTAAAAGTAATGGCAGCAAAAGCAGTACTCGCCGCTGAAGATATGAAGAAGAAGAGGAGTAGATCGGTAGAGGAGAAGAAGCCATTGTTACTTGACTAAGTTCAGCAAATCAAATGATTAAATTTCCGTTTGTAGGGATTTTTAAGGATCTAAGGCCTGTTTGGCTTTCCCAAAAGTTATGGACTAATACTTTTTTCTTTTTAAGGGAAAATGAATAAAAATTATATTTTATATTCTACCAAAATGAATAAAAATAAAAAACTTATTAATTTTATTGATTAAATATTCATACAAGTCCTTGCATTTCTTAATAGCCAAACACGGAGTTGGTTTTACTGCAAACTTTCTGCACAGTAAACCTAAAATCGTCTGAATCGGCCATAACTTCTCGCCGGCGATGGCTTCCGCGTCTGTTCTACGCGCGGCTGTTTGAATAATTCTCATTCCGGCGAGGTACGCCACACGCTGTTCATTTATTTATCTTTCTAATTTTCTGCCAATAAATTGTGAAAAATTGCACTCCCTTCGGTTCTTCTGATTTTGCATTTTAGGGTTTCAGTTTCAGTATGTAGCTCAATTTCTAGAGATTTCTTGTTACAGTTTGGGGATAGAGATCCATTGAAATCTTCAAAGTCTGTTAAAAAACAACATAACATGTTCCAATCACGGATTAAAATGAAATCTCTTGATTTATTTGCATTTTCTTGTAGGTACTTACATGCTATAAACTCTAAATCTTTCCAATTAAAAACTCCGAATTTGTCGAAACTCTTCAGTAATTTCGAACAATTACCTGTAAACAGGAAATTGATTGATGGAGCAGAAGTTTTTTCGGATTTCAGCTTCGTTTTGCTTCTGATAATTGTAAAACTCCATTAATCCATCAATGAGTCTGCGTAAACCCCCAATCCCCCGTCTTCTGCTCAGCAATGTTTCTTGCATGAGAAACGCTCAGCAAATTCTCCGCCACGTAAACGTCTCACTCCACGATGGAGGAGCGCTCGTTCTGACAGGTACAAACGGTTCAGGCAAAAGTACACTCCTACGAATGCTAGCTGGCTTCTCCAAACCATCGGCCGGTGAAATACTCTGGAACGGACACAACATAACCGAATCGGGCGTTTTCCATCAGTACAAGCTCCAGCTAAACTGGCTCTCACTAAAAGACGCAATTAAAGAGAAATTCACAGTTCTTGATAATGTTCAGTGGTTCGAAATTCTCGAAGGAAAACAGGGGAAATCCATACCTGCAATTGAGCTTATGGGGCTCGGAAGATTGATGAAGGAGAAAGCAAGAATGCTTTCCATGGGTCAACGGAAGAGGGTGCAGCTGGCGAGGCTGTTGGCTATCGATAGGCCGATTTGGTTGCTTGACGAGCCGTCGGTTGCGTTGGATGATGAAGGGACGAGATTGCTCGAGTTTATTATTAAGGAGCATAGGAAGAAAGGTGGGATTGTTATTGTGGCCACGCATTTGCCTATTGATATTCAAGATTCGTTGATTTTGAGGCTGCCGCCTAGGTTTCCGAGGAGGATGACTTTGGTTGACATGCTTGACCGTGGTGGACCGGATTGATTCTGTTTTATGATAATCGTATCAAATTATTGATTTATATATGTAATTTTGGTTAAATTGTAGCAGTGTCCATTGCTGTCTAAATTGATTATTTTGGTTGCAGATTTTTTTTTGACAGAAACGAATATGTCGTTTTCTTTATTGAATCTTTAGTAGTTTGTTACTCGTTTTAAGTTACACCAAATAAAAAGCTCGATTATAAGAGAAGTGATTCTGCATCTTGGAACAATCTGCTTATCCACTTGTATTGGTCCAGAATCCAGATTCTGCATCTACTTCATAAAATTTCTATGAGACCATCCTGTTATAAATAATAATAAACAGAATCTGAGTGATATAATAAACAATTTTTCTATGAAGTAATACTGTTACAGAAAAGCATTGTCTTACATCAGTTACTATAAACTTGTCTGAGAATTTGAGTGATGGCAACAGCCATTCTGTGAAAAAAGTCGAACGCTTTTGATGTCTGCTTTCGCTGTCTGCAGTGCAGGATAAGCAGAGCAAGCGTATGGTTATTGCATATAAAGAAAACCAACAAGAAAAACATATATATATATTTATGTAGAGTTTGCGGTTTCGAACCTGAAGCTCGAAAAAGTATCCTGTGTGAAACAAAGGACTGCAGTAACCGAAGAAATATCAAGTTTATTGTAGGAAAATTTGGAAATTATTTATTATTTAAAAAATGATGTCAAATATGTCTGAGGATATAGAAGATGGGGTTAGTTATACCTGCCATGCTGACGGCATGTAGTCACGATACGGTAGATTCTGAGGAAATCTTGAATCCGATACCTTTTCGTTGGATCTTTTACCTGAATATCTGAAATCAAGAGATGCTAATTTTCCAGATATGTAAACAGAACAAAAGATACAACAATCCAGTAGCATTAGGATGCTAAAGTAAAATCGAATTTGTTCGTATGCATCATTAACAAAATATCTAATATCTGTCACTAACCTTATCAATTCATTCGTAGATTGCTTATCGCCAAATGTAGCTGATTTGGTAGCTAAAACGATCATCGGATGCATCAAAACAAGCCTCTGAATCTCATGAACTATAGTTTCTGCCACAGTCTGAAGAGAGATACTTTTCCTGCCCTTCGGAAAAAAAAAGATTCACTCGGAAGATCAATTCTCGAAAGTCTACACAAAAGGAACTAGTCTAGGAAAATAGATAAACGAGAAACTACAAGTGCACATTGAGAAGATGCTAATTCGATGAGGAGAGAATAAAAGAAACGGCACGTGGACTCGTAAAAACCCGAACTCCCGAAGACAAGAAAGTTAAGAAAGAATCATCAACTCGTGAGAAACCTTATTTATCTGTCAGTAAGACCAAAAACGAAACAGAAGAAAGAAAGTACGAAAGTTAAAGTAACAAAACATACATCAAGCAAAAAAATCAATGAGCCATCTCACCTATTGTTGCTCCCTGATGATGAAGATGGTAAAGCACGATCCATCCAGTAAAAAGCTCCGATACTGGAGGTCAAATGATTGCATATAAGATATTTCAAAAATTGAATATCTATACGAAATTTTATATTCATTGTTGAACAAACCTGTCGATCATAAGCATATAAACAGCACTAGTTTGCTTTTCCTTCTCTTTCCGAAGCTGAAAATGCAATGTCTGCAATATTGGGTGAATCCTCAGAGAAAGAATACATAACGAAATTCGAAAACCGACACTTCAACTAAGAATGAATAAATACAGACCGAATGATGATTTCTCACCTTGAGAGTAGCAAGAAATTCGAAACTATTGTAACATCGCGTATACAAAAATCGACCCATGCATGCTGCAAACAATTCCTTGTCATATCCGTCCTCGTTGCGCTTACTTCTCGATCCTAATAGTCAATTGGGAAACAAATTACTAATTGCAAATTCGTTACAAGAATAATCATTTCTGGTCGGAGAAGAAAAAAAATAACGATTACCATTAGCCCTAATAATTCGCCGTTCCAACGCTTGTGCGATGCTGTAAACATCAAACCGACACTCCAAATCAATGAAATACACAGAGCGGTCCAGCCCGCCATATTGCACACCCTTCCACTCTTTAGGCAAAATACAATTTATCGCAGCCTATTACAAAAAATGAAGTTTTTTTTTTTCGGATTTAGTTCAAACATTTCCTAAACGGAGTAGTAATTGATCATAGCAATTGATGGGTGGAGCTCAAAATGATGTTTTTCACACCTGGATAAGGATTAGGGTTTTGGCTGAAGGAGAGGGCCCCACGATTTCCACTACGTTGCCGACGCGGAGGGGCAGCCGGTGCAGTGGCGCCGGCAATTGGACTAGTGGCCGTTCCGTGAGGATTCTGACGAGTGCTTCTTTTGCTGTCTCGTCTGCTTTGATCCATGAAAATGGTGACGTCATCTTTCTTCTGCTCTCTTGTCTATGGCGGGAAGAAAGTAAAAAATAAATTTATGTGTATGATTTTAATTTAAAATGAAAATGAAAATATATAATTTATTTTAATAAAAAATAAATATATTTTATTACACGAAAATAAAGTTAAATAAAATAAAAAAACACTAGAAAAATAAATATAAATCATTAATTTCAAAACAATTTAATTATCAATTGATTTTAGTCAACCGATCAAAGGCAAAAATTAAATAAATTAATGGGTAAATTACGAAAACTCCATGAACTTAGGTTAAATAACGAAACATACCCCCACCTATCTATAACTACCAAAAAACCCCTTTTATTAACTGTTGATCGAGTTTTTTAAGAGAAAATGTGTATAATCTATTATACCTTCTGTCAAATAGGTGAGAAATAAAAGAAATATTTGAAATTATGTAAAGTCTATTCCCTCGAATAAAAAAGAAATCCGTGAAACGTCAGACTGTAAGGGAATGGTGTAAGACGGAAACAAACCTCAGGGGGTTTTTGGTAATTACGAATAGATGGGGGTGTTTTCGTTATTTAGCTTAAGTTCAGGGTGGTTTTCATAATTTACCCTAAAATAAACTTTATAGAAAATAGGGTAAATTACAAACACCCCCCTGAGGTATGGTCAAATTACAAAACCCCCCTCTTGTTTGGATAATTACATCTACCCCTCAACTATGATTTTTTCTTAGACCTCCACCTTTATGGTGCCAAATTCAACATAGTCATCTAGATTCCGTGAAATGTGCTCTAGTTTGTACTCTTTTTGTGTAAAAATACAGTTTCCGATGCACCACAAACTGATATATACAAGCTAAAAATCACATATTATGATCATCTTGCTTTATAATGTAGTGTTTGAATGGGATAAAACGGGTACAAAAGTGATAATATTCAATATAATCTCGAAGATTCCACTAAATTTGATGAGTTGAGGGGGTGGTTGTAATTATCCAAACAAGAGGGGTGTTTTTGTAATTTGACCATACCTCAGGGGGGTGTTTGTAATTTACCCTAGAAAATAAAAAGAAAAAGAATAATTAAGAAGCAATAACTAAAATCAACTCTGCCCATGAAATTCCTTTGTATTCAAATCCAACTCTGCCCAGCTATCTTCTTCAAACCCCTCTTCTTCGCCGACAGCCTGACATCAGCAGACTGGTCCCACCTCTTATTCGCCGCGTACAAATTCGACAGCAACATATAACTACCCATAGTACCCTCGGTCTCGAGATCGAAAATCCGAGAACAAATCTCTTCGGCAAAATCCGTATTCTCATGCATTTTACAAGTATTCAAAAAGGCTCCCCAAACGTGCACATTCGGCTCCATGGGCATGCTCTTCAAGACCCGACCCGCTTCGTCGAGAAGACCTGCCCGCCCGAAAAGATCCACCATACATGCGTAGTGTTCGATCTTCGGCTCGATTCGAAACACTCTATTCATCTGTTCGAAAAGCTCATTGCCTTCTGCAACAAGTCCCGAGTGACTGCATGCGGAAAGTACAGCAACGAACGTAACCTCGTCTGGCTTGATTCCTTCACTCACCATCCGATGGAATATTCCCAGGGCATCTTTTCCGAGCCCGTGGATGCCATATCCCGTGATCATTGTATTCCACGAGATTATATCTTTGCAAACCGTTCCTTCGAAAACCGAATACCCTTTCCTCAAGCAGCTGCATTTCATGTAAATGTTGATTAAGCCGTTTTTCAATAATATATCGCTATCGATTAGCTTTCTGATTGTGTGTGCGTGGATTTCTCTACCGAGTGGCAGTGCTGATAACTCAGCACAAACTGATAACACTGTAGCAACTGTCACAGCATTGGCTGAAACTCGAGCGAATTGCATATTTCGAAACAGTTCCAGAGTCGTCGGTTTATGCTTGTCGCTAGTGGCGAATGCGTTAATAACTGCAGTCCAGCTAACCACGTTAGGCCTTGCCGTTGAATTCAGCCGAAGAAAAGCTGAGAGAGCTTCGTCACATAAACGTGACTGCGCGTATGCAGATATTAAAGCGTTCCAGCTCACTATACTCTTTGATTCTATACCGGAGAAGAGATACTCTGCTTTTTCTACATCCCCATTTTTCCCGTACATGCTTATAAGAGCGTTTATGACGAATATGTACTTTTCGAAACCAGCTGATATTACGTGTGCATGCACAATCGAGCCTCTAATGGGTGTTTGATCGCACACTGATATAACAACTGCAATTGATTCTGCAGTAGCACACACACATTTCTCTCTCATCAAAACGTAGAGCTCCCATGTCTTATCTCTAAAATCGCACCGAGCGAAACTCGAAATCAACGAAGTCCAAGTCACGGAATTTGGCTCCCACCCCTCGTTCTCCATTCTAGAAAAGATTGCGAATGCACCTTCACAGTCGTGATTTTTGGTGAAACCTGATAACACAACATTCCAAGAAACACAACTTCTCAGAGGCATTCGATCGAACACCTGTAGGGCAACCTCGTTCAGGCCAATCTCCCCGTACATTCCCACCAGCTCATTATTGACATGCAGATTATTCCTAAACCCCATTTGTGTAACATGACAGTGAACGCTTCTGCACAATCGAACATCGCCCCTCATCGCACAGGCCTTTATAATCAAAGGAAAACAAAAGCCATCTTGCTGTACACCGAATTCTCGCATTCGGCGATACAATTCGATAGCATTTTCGTACCTAAAATCCGAAACATAAGCGCGTAGCATCGAGTTCCAGAAAAGAGAGCTAAAAAAGCAATCTTCAGGACTTCTATCAAACACCTTCCGTGCATCGTTCAAAAGGGATAATTTCGAGTATGAAGAAATAAGTCTGGCCGACAAGAAAGCCGACGAAAACAACGAGGATGTAAGTATGATTTGCGCGTGGATCTGTTTAACGGGTCGCTCGTGATTACAGCTTCCATTAGTACTGCTGACGCAATGATGGAGAAGGCTGTCGAAGAAATCAATGAAGCCATTGTTGGAGAGTGTGTGAGTTGTTCGAATTCGACAACGAACATAAGCTTGTAAGCAGGACGTAGGGAATTTGGGCAGCGTGTGAAAGAAACGCTTTTGCAGACGAGGAAGAAAGATCATCAAGAATCAGACAGTGTTTAGTGTACTACCTATTATTGCACGAATCCGATGTTTTTTCTTTTCTTTTTTTTGTTTTCTTTTTTTTTATATAGAATATTTTGGATAATATAATTATTTTATTTATTTATGATTTATAAACTTCAAAAGGAATTAGCCAATAATTTCAGCTTGATTTGTTGTGTTTAATGAATCGAATTTAACAAAAAAAAATATCATCAATTTCGATTCAGTTATAAAATTATTAAGCTAAAAATTAATAATAAATAAACTTGGAAAACAAAGATTGTACCTTATCTAATCCATGAAACAATTTAAAAAACAAATACAAAATCACTATCATGACCTTTTACAATCCTTGAACAAGAACTCATGATTGTATCGAGTCGAAATAATCAGCTATTCTCGTTTTGTGCGGTTCGGTAACGAGTCAACTTCATTTGTGGGTCCAGACTGGTTTATGCTAGCCTTTGCATCTGCAAGAAACTTAGGATCGGGTTCGTGTTTGTCCGAAGGCTCTTTCATGGCCATGTAAATGTACCACGCTATAACCGCGTTGACAGAGACGACAGCGAGAACCCCACTCCACAGTGTCGTTGACTCGGGTGACAAACCAGTGGTACCTTCAAACCAGATAATCACACGTAAAACAATGATCAGTTCCGATTACATGTCGAAGGCAACGGCTAAAACGCTCGTTGAAAATTACTTATAGGAACTAACCTTAAACGACCGTTTTGACAATTTGAATAGCTGAGAAAACGTGACGAAGGTATATACAAGTTGGGAACGGAAGCTTACCAGGGAATAAATTGAGGTTAAAGCCATATAGAATAGCAATAGGAGCTACACACATGAATATCGATGCAACGAAAAACTTGTTTACGACCCCCGCCATAGCTTTTCTCCAACCTATAAATCAAGAAAGAGTGCAAAACCAATTTAAGTATGCAAAATCAGAAGCTCAACATTGATATATATGTATTACAAGGAATATGTAGCAAGTCAAAGACAGGATGAACAATCAAAAGCAGATACAAATCTCACTGCAAGAAATGCACAATTCACTTTCTAAGAGGAAATTTCACAAACAGGTAGAGTGCAATTCAATTATCTCCATACAAAATCAAATTTCATCAAAGACCCAATTTTTTTTTTCTTTTTTTCTCATGAATCATATTTCAAGAAACATCAAAACTGATACTACATTGATGATCTTGCCATTCTAGATCATAAACAAGCTCACTTCAAATTGAATCGAAATTAGGAGTTTTCGTTCTTCTTCTTCTAAAAGACTGAGCTAAAATTCAAGAATCTTGAAGGGGTATACTAATTCCAGATTTCGGACGAACTGGGTATCATTATAAGATAGAATTCTGTTGGGATTTTCAAAGTGATCGGTCTAAAATCGAAATCTTGAAGAAGAAATTAAAAGGTCTTTTTTTTAATTTAATTTTATTTTCTGGAGTGGAGTAGTGGGGGGTTGCGTGTATTTTATTTACCTTTAATTAAATAAAAGATTTTGATATTTATTTATATTTATTCCGAGAGGCGATGAAATTTCTCAAGCCCCGTTTATTCACTTCATCTTCCAAAACCCCGTTTTCTCTCTCCTTAAACCCATTCAAATTCTCGCCGCTCTCTGTCTCTCTTGCTCCGCCCACTTTCGGCAGCCGTAATCCGAAGCGGGGGCCGTTGACTTTTCGTCGCTATTGTCATAGCTTCTGCTTCTCCAGAAGTGCTTCTGTCAGAGCAGCAATGCATACATCTCCGCCGTCAATTCAAGTGAAAGACCGTATTGATCTGACGGAAAAGGAGACGGAAATATTCGACCGTCTTCTTCAAGTTCTCCGCCACTTCACTCTCCAAACCCAGCTCCGCGTCGCTGGTGGCTGGGTTCGCGATAAGGTTTTTTTTTTTTTTTTTTTTTTGTAATTGAAGGGTTGGATTAGTATTACTTTGTTAATTGCTGAAAAGGGTGGAAGAAATTTCATATTTTGAATTGATCATGCATACAAAAGATTGTGGTTTGATTTGTAAATTAAATAAAATAAAAATCGTTACTTGGTTAGAAATATATATATGAGTTTCTGTGATTTGATCAATATTTGTATCTATTTGATGAATGTTTACTCGGTGTTCGATTCTTTTTACTGCAGCTCTTGGGTAAAGAATGTTGCGATATTGATATCGCTCTTGACGATATGTTGGGAAGGGAATTCTGCGAAAAAGTGAACGAGTATTTGTCGTCTACCGGAGAAGAAACTCATGGAATCGGTGTTATACAGTGGTACTTTTACTCGAATCTCACCATTTAAGTATTTGAATTTTTGCACTACTTTGTTGCACAAGATTCGATTTTTAAGTGTTTGTTGCTTAATATTGTTTTCTTATGACGATGACTCAGCAATCCCGATCAGTCGAAGCATTTGGAAACAGCAAGAATGCGTCTTTTGGATGTATGGATTGACTTTGTCAACTTACGAGCTGAAGACTACAGTGAGAATAGTCGTATCCCAACTATGGTGCTTACTATGTATTATTACAAAAACTAGGCCAGACGGGCTTATTCCGTATTATCAAAGAACACTTTTTTTAAGTGCAAAATGTTTTCTTGCAGAGGTTTGGCACGCCTGAAGAGGATGCTTTTCGAAGGGATTTAACAATCAATAGGTTCTTGTCTTAACACTCGTCGTTTCCCGTGATCTTTATGTCTTTGTATTCGATGATTTTTATCTTTTTCCGTTAACAGCTTATTCTACAACATCAACACAAGTTCAGTTGAAGATTTTACAGAAAGAGGTAATACGAGTTTGAAGGTTTTAATGTTTTCATTCGAATCGATTCCAACATGTTATTAGCTATGACGACTACCTTTTATTCCTCGTTAAATTAATCATTCTTTTATCAACCGTCTATAGGCATTGCAGACTTGAAATCTGGGAAAATAGTGACTCCGCTACCTCCAAAGCAGACATTTTTAGACGACCCTCTTCGAGTTCTTCGAGCTATACGGTTTGGTAATCGACTAGCAACTTCTGTTTTTGTATATTTTGCTAAGGAAAAAAAAACACACACATTTATGTATTATATGAGATTCAATCTTATTTTATTAAATAAATAAATGTTAGGTGCGAGATTCGGATTCGTGTTAGACGAAGAATTGAAGATAGCTGCTGCAGACAACGATGTTAAAGCCGCTATTGCTGATAAAATTAGCAGAGAGCGTATTGGTCACGAGGTATGCTTTCGTATAGGGCTGAATCTTCAATTCTCCGTTTTCTTGATATATATTTAGTGTTTTTAACATTTGTTGTATTTATCTATACATTGATGCAGATTGATTTAATGGTATCTGGCAATGAACCCGTAAAGGCAATTACGTACATCTCTGAATTGCAGCTCTTTTGGGCTGTATTTAGTGTTCCGTCTGATATCGAACCTTCAACTCCAGAAGAATGTGATCGGTATTTTTTTTTAGTTTCGAATATACCTTTTGGTTAAGAATACCTCTCTGTTTATTATGGCTATTTTTTTTAATCTAATTATCGTATTTATTGCATCTGTGACTAGGCTTTGTGTTGCTTACATGGATTCCGCATCGAGACTTTTGCAGTTAGTAGAATCTTCCTCCTTCACTGTGAGTATTGAGTTCGTACATGCATGTTAACATTTGTGTCTTCAGATGAATGTAAGAACATTCAGAAATACGTATTTTCGCACAAATTTTAAGGTTCGTTTTTGGTTTTTAAAGGATGACCAGAAGAGGCTCTGTCTGTATGCGGCTTTGCTTCTACCCTTTAGAAATGCTGTTTACAAAGACAAAAAAGGGAAAAAGGTAACGATTTAGCGTACTTTATCCATTACTTAGATAAATGTGAAGAGTCTTCTCGTTTCGTTCTCGATCTGTTTTTGTAATGATTTTGGAATTTTTTTAACAGATTCCAGTCGTAAGCTACATTTTTCGAACTTCTCTCAAGTTGAAGGCTAGTGATGCAGATAACGTATGACATACAAGCCCGTTTTTTTCTTTTTTTTTAATTGATTAGAAAATATTTCAGATAAAAAAAATATCTTTTTGTGCAGGTAATTAGCATTCATCTTGCAGCAGAAAAACTTTTATCCTTGATTCCTTTAATCATAAAAGACGAGACTTTCGAAATTATTGAGGGTGATAAGCATAAAGAAACTATTGATGTTCCAGCTGCTTCGAAGCTCCGGATATTAACTGGTAAAAATTGTCACTCTATTCCTTCAAATTTAGTCTTAATATATATCTTTGAACGGTCGTTCTTTCATTTTTAGGGTTACTTCTTCGAGAAATCAAAGAATTTTGGCGCGCTGCACTTATGGTTTCTTTGCAATTATACCCAAAAGATATTGTTTCGATTAAAAATTCATCAAGTGAAGAAACGGAATTTAACGGGAGAAAAGAATTATTTAACAGGGTGGAGAATGCAATTCTTGAAATGGGTACGCGCATTATCTTAATTCTTCACTATCTCGATCTCCAACAACGCATTAACGAAATTAATCGAAACGGGATTTTTTTTTTTATATTAGGGTTGGATAAAGTGTGGGATTTGAAACCACTAGTGAATGGCAGAGAAATCATGAGTATGTTGCACCTAAAATCTGGAGGGCCAATAGTGAAAGAATGGGTATTAATTAGTATTATATTTGAATTAAACTACTTAATTATGCAAATTTAATTCCTTTTTTATATTAATTTTTTTGTCGCCCTTTTTTCTGCAGCAACAAAAACTGCTCGAATGGCAGCTTGCAAATCCGTCTGGTTCTGCGGAAGAATGCATCGATTGGATGAATCAAACTCAATCGAAACGAGCTAGGACAGAGTAAAACTTATAAACGAACTTTCTTGAATTCATTCGGTTGCTTAAAGTCATTTTTTAGTATGTTGTTTTTTTGCGAGTTGGGGTTTTGAATTCGAATTATATAAATTATCCGACATTGTGTACAGAAATACATACGGCCCCAAACTATATTAGATTTGGAAATTAGAGCTAAGAGATGAGCAATGTGCCATATAATCTCTTTTGTTTCGTATTACATCGCATTATACGGCTTAATGATCTTACGATTTACGAATTATTGCACGACATAATCTATTTATATTGTATCATATCGACTTTCTCGATTCGATTATATCGCATTATAAATACTACTTGGTTACATTAATATTTATGATTTATCGTATTATATATTCGTATTACTATTTATGAATTTACGATCTTATTTTCGGAAACACGATTTTGTGGATTCCATTTACGATTTAACAACCACGTGTCCGTCGAATAAATACCCTAAAAAATAAATAAATAAATAAATAAATAAATAAGCAAAATTAATAATAATTACAAAAGGGGGCATTGGACTCATCGTTTCCATCTCTCTGCTGTAAATTGAGAACCTTCTCTTGTTCAAATTCCCAATTTTCTGCAAATTATTTCTCTTTGTACGGCGTCGTTTCTGCGTCGTCTCTTTCGATTACACAACCTATTTACGAAAAAGCCCATCACGAATTGCTCAATTTCTTTGTGATTTGATTCAATTCCCAAATTCAATTTTTTTTTTTTTTTTTTACCGATCATCGTCCCCAATTTCCGAATTTCAATTTCGCGATCATCAGAACCCTAGATCAATCAAAAAATGGTGGCGAAGAACAAGAAATCCAAAAAGAGCAAAAAGGAAGAGCACGATCTCGACAAGCTGAGCTGTTTACCAGACAGCATTCTCTCGTACATCCTCTCTTTCCTCGACACGAAATCCGCCATTAGAACTTCGCTCCTCTCCAAGCGGTACAAACTCCTATGGACGCTAACTCCATCTCTCGATTTCGTGTTATCCGAAACCGAAACCGTGTATCCCAATTCATACAACGACGTCGTTCCGCCCGAACACGCCAAAGATCCCAGCATCTTCTTCTTCCAGCTGTACGTCAACCGTGTACTCCGCCTCAGAGAGCACAGCAATCTGACGTCGTTTCGCCTCTCTCTGTATAAGGATGTTGGAATGGAGCTCCTCGAGAAATGTATGGATTACGCCGCCAAACACAAGGTGCAGGATTTTCGAATACGAGGTTATGTCAAAAACCAACCCGTTGTACTGCCCGAATTGTTGCTTACTTCGTCGTCACTGACGAATCTCCACCTCCACAATGCCACCCCGTATAGTATAAGGCTACCGAAATCGGTTCTCTTGCCCAACTTGAAGTTCCTGCACCTCAAGAAATTCCAATTCTCCGGTAACAACTTCAACGGGGATTTATTCTCCGGGTGCCCGAATCTCGAATCTTTGGTCTTGAGTAGGTGCTCGATTAGACCGAGGGACGAAGTCAAGGTTTTGAATTTGAATTTCTCGAATCTTGTGAACTTGGTGATCAAGTGTTGGAGGAGTCCTTGGATATGTTTTAACGAGCATGCGATCAATGTGAATGCTCCTAAACTCGCGTTCTTTAAGTACCAAGGTCATCTTGCTCGAGTGAATTTCAACGACAGTTTGCTGTTTTTGGAGAGAGCTTGTATCGAACTGTGCTACCCCACAGCTTGCACCATTGTAAATCTAAGCGAACGAAAGCAAGAATTGGCAGAATGTTTTCTCAACATGCTTCGTTATATGTGCAATGTCGAATTCCTCTCCCTCTCGATGAAGACAATCGAGGTCTTGTAAAAAAAAATCCGTTCTTGTTTTTTTTTCAACAAAAGAAAACGACTAGTAGGATCGTGGTATCTACTTATTCATATGTTTTTTTGGCTTATTTTTCCTTTTTAGGTTTTAAGTGCGCTTCCTGATTTACGAGAACGTTCGCATACAATTTTCTTGAATTTGAGGCTTATAAAATTCACAGCCGAGAATAAATATACAGAGAAGACTCTGAGTATCAAGACTGTTATGCAGTTACTCGAGAATGCTGCCACTGATGTTTTGATATCTGATGGCTCTAAGGTATTATTATTACGCTCGTCTTTCGGCTTTTTTTTTTATATGCATTTATCGGACAAGTTTTGATAGTTCTTTCGTACGATTTTGATGCCTATTCAATTTTTTATTTTTATTTTTTCAGAAAAAGAAGCCGTCGCCCGGGTATTCGAAGGTGAAAACTAATAAGAAGGATGATGCTAAACACATTGCTGTACCAGTTCATGTGATGTACTTCTTATTAGAAAACTCTCCGTCTGCGGAATTTCTGAGCGTCGAAATACCAAAGGTAATTGTTTTCTTATTCGATTTTGAAAATTCAGGAGAAACTGATTTTAATTTATCGACTAACACGAATGAAATTGTCCTTCTCTCTTTCAGATATCACCGAGCCAAGTCTGAGGAGCCAAAAACGTCGGAACGTGTATTATTGTGACTATCTTTCTACTTTTATTGGATTATTGTAATTCGACTCGTTTGCAACTATTTTTCTTCGTTTCTTGGATATTCTACCGGTGTTGTTGAATCATCAATGTACATTATATATTGCTCTTAATAAACATTTGAAATGCGTGATTCGAAAGATGGAGCGTTTGAAAAAACATTATTATCGATCGATCGAGAGGGAACATCAAAATTTATTGCTTTACTATTTGATCAATTCACAGTTTCGATGAATATATAAGAGTTTGTAATAAGATTCATTATTGTATATAAGACCCTTTAACCATGACAATTCGTCTCCTTCGTCCGATCCAGCTAGTCAGCCACGGAGGATCTCCAGAAACAACTCTATAACCAGCGTTCGAATACAGCTTTCGAGCGCCGTAATCATCTTCGTAAGCTCTAAGTACAAGATAATCGAAACCCCATATCGTAGAGAGTGCGTCACAAGCTTTCAGCAACGCAGTCGCCACTTTTTGCCTCCTAAAAAAACCATCAACATTTCTCAAAATTATTGTTTCAAAAAAAAAATTAAAAAAAAAAAAAATCGGTAGAATCGAACGAACCTGAATTTGTTCAGAACGGCGATTCCGGAGACATAAAGATACTCTTGTGCCCCTGGAAGATGCTGAAGAACAGAATCTTCCCTCATAACTGTGACATCAACTACCCCTACAAGCTCTTGCTCTGTTTCTTCTAGAAGTTCACTTCTTTGCTCTGCTACCAAACATGCATACCTGTAGGGGGGGTAGAATTGTAATTTCACATTCCATGTGTATGTTTTGTAGAGCTTATTGCAGTTAATTTACCTGTCTGGAGGTGAGTTCCTTAGCTTGTAAAGTAGGCCTGCCAGCACTTCAGCCTATAATATAAATTGCATGAAACTATCAAATGATTAGAAAAAATTGTAATGAAAAGTGAAAATCAGTTCAAGAAAAGTGATCAATTTTTTTAATTTTTTGTTACCTTGAAGAAATCGAAGAACATGTCATCGAACAAAAAAACGGGCTCGTGAAAAGCTTCGGCTTGAACATCGGCTACTCTCGTCATTTCATCTTCTTCCTCGGCCATTCTCCTCACTTGCCAGCTGGCGGCATCATCATCACCACTAACGAGATAACCGAACTGCAGCTTCTTGTTTTGGAATATTCCGTCGTCCGATTCGATATTCCGATTAGGAGTTGTTGATGTCGAAGAAGTGCAGCAGTGCACAAGCCCTCTAGTGTTGTTGTTGTTGGTGTTCTTCAATCGTGTTCTCGATTGAATTGTGAATCCCACATCGGAATAAAATTGGATTCTTGGAACTTCAATAACTATGGATTTGCTGCAATGCAGATGAGCCATTTTCTCACCTTAACTTTTTCAAATGTATTTGTACATTAATTTTAATTTTATTTATAATTATATATATTAGTGAAGAGCTGGAAGTAGCAGTGTGACATTATGAATTAATGAATGCACATTGATTCAATACCTAAGTTTTTATTTTTCTTCCATCTGCCCTTGAGACATGTTGTTAAGGATAAGATTCTATTGGTTGTGGGCTTTGGGGTTTTTTTGTTTTGTGTTAATCCTACGTGGCAGCACATGGGTCTAACACGTGTCGTTCCTGAGAAATCACTCTGGTTAAATAGAAGTAAAATGAGAAAACGGAAAGTAAAGAAAGAATCATGGTCACGCCTCATGTATAGTCACATTACGGAGAATAAAAAAATATTTGAATAATTACAACCACCCATTTAACTATGTGTTTTCTTATTTATCTATTTTCATAGTGAAAAATTCAACTTAGTCTTCTAGATTTTGCGAAATGTTCTTTAATTTGTACTTGTTTTGTGCAAAAGTGCAGTATCTGATGCATCACAATCTGATATTTACAAGCAAAGAGACACATCTTATGATCAATTTGTTTCAAAATGTGGAGCTCGAATGAGGTAAAACGGGTACAAATTAGAAAATATTCCATAGAATCTAGAAGATTCCACTATATTTGACACTGCAATTGTCGAGATGTAAAAAGATTCATATTTGAGACATGGTCAAATTACGAAAAAAACCCCCTCTAGTTTGCGTAATTACAACCACCCCTATCAACTATAAATCTTCTTACACATCCACCCTCGCAGTGTCAAATTTAGTGAAATCTTCTAGATTGTATGAAATATTCTCAAGTTTGTACCCGTTTTATCCCATTCTAGTTCCACATTTGGAAGCAAAATGATTATAAGATGTGTTGTTTGCCTTGTATATATCAGATTGTAGTGCGTTAGAAAATGCATTTTTGCACAAAACGAGTACAAACTAGACAACATTCCACGGAATCTAGAAGATTATGTTGAATTTGACACGTGTAAGAAAATTCATAGTTGAGGGGATGATTGTAATTATCCAAACATGATGTGCTTTTTTTTCGTAATTTGACTATTCCTCAGGGGTTGGTTGTAATTTACCAAAATTTAACTTCTAAAGTACAGGGGTTAATAGTTAAAGTTCTTACAAGTCTAGGGACCAAAATATAATAACACAGAGCCGTTTTGCTTTCTCGTACGAGAACCTCCTAGACCTTTCCTTAAACTGTCGAAACTCGAGACTTCTCCAGAATGCACACTTTTGTCTATTTCTCACAAGTCCTTTTGTTTTATAAATCCTTTCTTTCTCCCCCAAAAAAAAAACTTGCAGAAAAAAACGATCATAAACTGCAACAGGCAACATACTACTAATTTTCATGGCAACTACGGCACAAATCCACTGCCCATTTCCCCAAACAGGGAACAAGACCCCTTTTCCGGGCCCTAAAACGATCAAGAAAACGCCGTTTATTACACTAAGTACGAGGGGGAGGAACGAGCAACAACACAAGACGCCCTTGAGAGTGGTGAGCGAGAAAGTGGTGGGGATCGATTTGGGCACCACCAACTCCGCCGTGGCGGCGATGGAAGGAGGGCAGCCCACCATCGTGACCAACGCCGAGGGGCAGCGGACGACGCCGTCGGTGGTGGCGTACACGAAGTCCGGCGACAGGCTCGTGGGGCAGGTCGCGAAGAGGCAGGCGGTGGTGAACCCGGAAAACACGTTCTTCTCGGTGAAGAGGTTTATTGGGAGGAAGATGAACGAGGTTGACGAGGAGTCGAAGCAGGTTTCGTATAAAGTGGTGATGGATGAAAATGGGAATGTCAAGCTTCACTCCCCTGCTACTGCCAAATCGTTTGCTCCCGAGGAGATCTCTGCTCAGGTATGTATATATATATATATACATGTGTGTGTGTGTGTGTGTGTGTGCTATTTCTTCTTCATATTGAGATGATTCAGTTTCTAGTGTAAGTTTTTAGAGCAAAAGATGCAATCTTTGCTTGTAATAAGTTTCATGTTTTCGCTCGTGTTATTTTCGGTATAGTTGCTTAAATCTTGTTTATGTTGTGGTGCTAATTCTAAATTATATATGTGTGTGTGTGTGTGTGTGTGTGTGTGTGTGCGCGCGCGCTATTTCTTCTTCATATTTAGATGATTCAGTTTCTAGTGTTAGTTTTTAGAGCAAAAGATGCAATCTTTGCTTGTAATAAATTTTGTGTTTTCGCTCGTGTTATTTTCTGTATAGTTGCTTAAATCTTGTTTATGTTATGCTGCTAATTCTAAATTATATATATGTGTGTGTGCGCGCGCTATTTCTTCTTCATATTGAGATGATTCAGTTTCTAGTGTTAGTTTTTAGAGCAAAAGATGCAATCTTTGCTTGTAATAAACTTCGTGTTTTCGCTCGTGTTATTTTCGGTATAGTTGCTTAAATCTTGTTTATGTTATGATGCTAATTCTAAATTATATATATGTGTGTGTGTGTGTGTGTCGCGGTATTTCTTCTACATATTGAAATGATTCAGTTTCTAGTGTAAGTTTTGGAGCAAAAGATGCAATCTTTGCTTGTAATAAATTACCTGTTTTCACTCGTGTTATTTTCGATATAGTTGCTTAAATCTTGTTCTATGGTGCTAATTCTAAATAATAATGGCTAGTGCACATTCAAACAAAGGGTGGTTTATTTTCTTGCAGCTGTAATTTATGAAAGTTCTCGATTTTCACCGGTTGTCTGTAAATCGTAATATACAATAGGAAAGAAAGGGTTTCTGTGGTTTCGCTCCCTTCTCCGAAGATGATGATATTTTAATGTGTTAGTGCGCAGCAGAATATAAAATGTTTCGTAGTACTTTGAATCTGCTGCTCGATTTTAGTTTTGACGCAGACCGTCGTTTTATTACTTGCAGGTCTTAAGGAAGCTTGTGGATGACGCGTCGAAGTTTTTGAACGATAAGGTGAGTAAAGCAGTTGTAACTGTACCGGCGTATTTCAACGACTCCCAAAGAACCGCAACTAAAGACGCTGGTCGTATAGCTGGATTGGACGTTCTCCGTATTATTAACGAACCCACTGCCGCTTCTTTAGCTTACGGCTTCGAGAAAAAAAGTAACGAAACCATTCTCGTTTTTGACCTTGGAGGTGGTACATTCGATGTTTCAGGTAAAACAAAAAAGATTAATAATAATACGTTTGCACTTGTCGAAAACACTCGGTAAATTTGTGTATTTGTATGCAGTTCTTGAAGTTGGAGACGGAGTTTTCGAGGTTCTTTCCACCTCAGGTGACACACATTTAGGTGGTGATGATTTCGACAAGGTACGAAAATAATCTGAACACGCAAATTATTTCTTTGTTTCTATATTATATTTTTCGGTGACGATTTCATGTTTGACTTTTTTCATGAAACAGAGGATTGTTGACTGGCTTGCCGGTAGCTTCCGTAAGGACGAAGGTATTGACCTTCTTAAAGACAAGCAAGCTCTCCAACGTCTCACCGAAACTGCTGAGAAGGCGAAGATTGAATTGTCTTCGTTAACTCAAACTAATATAAGGTACGTACGTACATTATTATCATTTGTGTAGTCGAGTAATCCTATTTTGGAATCGTTTATCAAGGAGTATTGTTGTTATTTTGCAGTTTGCCCTTTATCACTGCTACTGCCGATGGTCCGAAACATATAGACACGACGATAACACGTGCGAAATTTGAGGATTTGTGCTCCTACTTACTCGACAGGTACACAAAATCGAAGCATTTGTTCGAATTTTTTTGTATTTAAATTTCTCCGAATATTGATATGGTAGCATTAATATTTGCAGGCTCAAAACTCCAGTCGAAAATGCGTTGAGAGATGCTAATCTTTCGATCAAGGAAATCGATGAAGTAATTCTAGTCGGGGGGTCCACTCGAATCCCTGCTGTACAAGGTCTTGTAAGAAAAATGATCGGTAAAGAACCGAACGTAACTGTCAATCCAGACGAGGTTGTTGCACTCGGAGCGGCTGTTCAGGTATATATATAAAAATCTTAAAAATGTCGTCTTGATTATCGTTTCATTTATGCATCATTGATAAAAATCGAGTCTTTTTTTTCTTTCTTTTCTTTTTAGGCTGGTGTTTTGGCGGGTGATGTCAGCGATATCGTGCTATTGGATGTTACACCCTTGTCGCTCGGTTTGGAAACTTTGGGCGGTGTAATGACGAAGATAATACCGAGAAATACGACTCTACCGACTTCTAAATCGGAGGTTTTTTCAACTGCGGCCGATGGGCAAACGAGCGTTGATATAAATGTTTTGCAAGGTGAACGAGAATTTGTGAAAGACAATAAATCGCTCGGAAGCTTCCGTTTGGACGGAATACCACCTGCCCCACGTGGGGTCCCGCAAATCGAAGTGAAATTCGACATAGATGCAAACGGGATTCTCTCCGTAACAGCTGTCGACAAAGGAACTGGGAAAAAACAGGATATCACTATAACCGGTGCCAGCACATTGCCTAAAGATGAGGTAAATTTCAAGAAAATCGATTTTTTTTTTTTTTTTTTTTTTTTTTTTTTTGCGTTGCTCGATTCTAGAAGTTTGAATTGACTTCGGATCAAAATGGTTTTTTTTTTTCTTTTTTTTTAACAGGTGGATAAGATGGTGAAAGATGCGGAAATATACGCAAAGGAAGACAAAGAGAAGAGAGAAGCGATCGACACGAAGAATCAAGCGGAGTCGGTTTTGTATCAGACCGAAAAGCAATTGAAAGAATTGGGAGACAAAGTCCCTAGTGATGTAAAAGAGAGGGTGGAGAGTAAATTGAAGGATCTTAAAGATTCCCTCGCCGGTGGGTCCACTCGAGCAATCAAGGACGCCACGTCAGCGCTCAATCAAGAAGTGATGCAATTAGGACAATCTTTGTACAGTCAGCCTGGTGGTGCCGCCGCCGCCTCAGAAGGATCTACTTCTTCTTCTAGTGCTAAATCATCGGATGGAAATGGAGATGTTATCGATGCCGATTTCACCGAGAGCAGCTGAGGAATATGTATCTAAGCGCGCGTATATTTGTGTAACATCAAAGTAAATAATGCTTATGTATGTATATGTAATCTTTTGCTTTGCTGATTAAGATAAAGGCGACACCTTTTTTACTCGGTTTCTAGGGAAACGGCGTCGAATACTAGATTTATCGAGTTCTTGATCAATTTAAAGGAAACCGAAATGGTAGCACGTACGAGTAGATCTTTCGTTCCGATTTTTAAAGCAAAAACATGAATTAATCACAACCTAAATAATTTCCTAACAGCCTTTAGGAACTTACCTTTCTTCTTCACATTTCTACTCTGATCAGTAAATTCAGTGCCACGTGGATCATCATCCTCTGCATCAGCCAAATCACACTTATGGTGGATCCTCGAGTATCCTTCCGACACCGAAGCCGACCTTTTCATCGAAAACGACCTCTTCACCGCTGTCTGAAAAGCCGAGCTTTCTTGCTCAGCAGCCGCCGCCTTCCGATCACCACATTTCCGGTGGAGGATGATCCCGAAAACCTCTCCAGTGCCGCCGCCTTCTTCTTCATCGTCGTCATTCTCGGGAATCGAAGCGTGCACGGTAATTGTTTTCTTCTGATCGGCATTTGAGATGGATTTGAATCTGGAGAAGTTGGGTGTGGATCTGGATGTGGGATGATACTGCGAAAACGAGAGATCGGCGAAATCGACGGATTTGGATCTCGACGAGTTGGGTTTGTTTTGAATTTTGGAGTAGCCGCCGTTGTTCATTTTGGTTCTCGAAAACGGGGAGCAGAGCTTGTCGAGATGGGGAAGAAGGAGAGAAGGGAATTCTTGAAAGAGGGAGGGAGAAGTTGAGTCAACGATGATGAATGAAGTTGTGATTCCCAGATTTGGAGGGAAAGACATTGTTAACTGTTAGTTAGCTTAAAAGTTGCTTCTGCGGTGATGCACGTTTTATAATGTCGTCAGATTCTTTTTGGCTACTTGATGAGGTTGTGATTATTGTGTAAAGTTTTAATTATTAATTAATTAATTGAGGGATAATATTTTTATTTTATTTTATTTTATAAATGTAATGTGGAAATTTGCAGGTGCAAACAACAAATTAAAGGTTTTGATGGTGATGCTTACTGCTTTAGGGTGGATATCGGAACGGAATTTATTGAATTTTGCCGATTTAAATATGAACATCCCTAATTTTTGAAAAAAATGGAACTGAAATAGGTATTTTTGAAATTCCGATCTCGGGGTTTTTTATCCGATTTTAATATTTGAAGGTAATTTTGATTTTATATTATATGTGAATAAAATAAATAGAATTTTTTAAATTTTTTTATTGTCTATTTTGGAGAAATAAATTCCATTTATTTAACTGGTTTTTTTAATTCCAACCACTGAAGTTTTGAATAAATTAATTTTAATTCAAAAATGTTAATTTCGATCTGGTCCATCCAATTTTGCCCGGTTAGTAGCAAAAAAGTTGTGTTTATGCCAAGTAAAATTTGCATAGATGGGTAGTTTATATATTATTATTGTTATTAATGAATGATGTAGTAGCATGAGAAATTAGATGTTGCATCTGATTATTTACACACTGGGCAATCAATTTGAACTGTAGATCTATGTGTTTTGTGTATTCACCTGGTGGATAATTATTTAATACAATTTACGATTCAAATACATCCGATATAAAATAAGAAGTCAATAGCAATTCTATGCCATGATAAAGAGATTGAAATATGAATTTGGTAAAGAATAATTGGTGATAATAAATAATAATAATAATAATAATAGAGTAATGGGACAGTGTAGGAGGCATGTGCGGTGTTTTCTTGGATGGGATTCCTTTTTCTTGGAGAGCTATCTTCTATATGTTTGGTTTGGTACCAAACAATTAATGTTACTACAAGATGTGACCTAATAAGCTTAAACAACCCCCCACTCTCTCTCTCTCTACATCTTTCTTTCTCTCACTAGATCTCGATCAGTTTCTCTCTCTATATCCAGAGAATCTTTACTAGCTTCACCTTCACCTTCTACTTCATTTTTTCATATTTGTCTCTGCAAAAATCAAATCAACAGTTACAAAAATTAAAGTTGACGTAAATCAATTTATTACAGTGTATCTAGCTGATGTATATGTATATGATCCGAGCGTGTGATTCAGTGACTCAGTCTGATTCTTAAAAGATTAGCATGAGCTGTCCATGTTGTTTTTTTATTGCATTATTATTATTATTATTATTTGTTCTGTTTGTCACCTTCAATACTTACACTTCACCGAAATGACAGCACAATGTGTGTGTTACTCTGATAAGGAACGTCAAATTGGATTCGTGTTGCAAAATAACTATTTAATTCGGAGAAGAGTTATTAATGGGCATTGGTGGAAATATCGAAAGAAATTATGGAAAAATAAGGGTTTTCGACGAACTCAAATTGTATTTGAGTACGAAACGAACTCTATCTCAAGTGAAACGGCGCAAGGAACGAAACTCATGAGCAAAGCTCATGAATCACGTCAAATTTCAGCAATCCAACGTCGTTTGGACTCCTAAAAGTTCGTTTTTGCTATTTTAGGTAAGTTTTAGAAAATTAATATCAAATCATAGAAAAATCGGATTAGGATTCCGTAAATTGGGTTGTTCCCAAAATTACGAGATCTACTAGAATTAGGATTTAACTCGTTTTTGCCGTTTTTGGTAATTTTTAGTATTTTCTTATTTTAATTAGGGTTTTCAGTTTTTTAGTATAAATAGCTGCCTTAGGACTTTATTTTAAGAAGAATTTCGAATTATTAATAAAATTTCTGAGTTTTCTCTCAATTATCTGGTGGATTCCAGAGTTTTCGTGTTCTATAGGATTAATTCGTAGAAATTAATTCTTCACCGTGCTTCCGTTCTGCGTCAGTTGGCATCAGTAGCGAGGTTTTTCCTGGTTAGATGGCGAAAGGTGCAAGATATGGAGACAAAAACTACGTTGGCGATGACCGCGGGGTTGAGAAACTGCAAAATCTGAGGTTGGTACGCGAGGGATTTGCCCTTGACAACAACAACAGAAGAACTGGATCTAGCATGGGTATTGCCGACGGTGTAGCCCGAGGTGCATATGTTAGACACAATTATCATGGATCTGCTCAACTTCAATCAAGGTATGACGATTATTCAAAGGTGAGCGGCAACTCTGATTTTGAAGAAAATCCGCCTATAAAGAGGCAAAAGGATCGTGATAAAAATCGGGTAAGAGCTGAAATTCCTTCTTTTAGTGGAAATTTTCTTGAAGTTGAGGATTTTATCGATTGGGTGTCAGAAGTTGAAAATTATTTTGAATTGATGGGTATTTTGCCGAATAAGATGGTAAAATTGGTTAGGTGTGAGTTAAAGGGTTGTGCAGCCGCATGGTGGGATGAAATACAGATGAAGAGAGCTAGACAAGAAAAATTTCCAATCCAATCATGGAGTAGGATGAGAAAAATGTTGATGGATCGTTTTTTACCCCTAGGTTATGAGCAACGTCTATTTCAACTATATCGTAATTGTTCGCAAGGGAGTAGATCTGTTAACAAGTATACTGCTGAGTTTATGAGACTAGCAAACTTAAATAACCTGCAAGAATCCGAAAGTATGGAAATTTCAAGGTACTTGCAAGGATTGAATATTTCAATCCGTCTTAGGATGGGGTGGCGCGCATTCGACTCCCTTGAAGAGGCTGAAGAGTTTGCATGGAGCGAGGAATATTATCAGAAGCGAAATAGTTCTTCTAGAAAAATCAAAGATGTTCCACCCGTTGCCAAAGTTAAGAAGGTACAAGATACTTCATTCGTTATTCAAGAACCCAGTTTGGTGGAGGATCATGGCGTACGAGTTAACAAAGTTGAAGAAGAAATTGTTGATGCAAAAGTTAAAATTAGCGTAGCTAAAATTAACGATGGCATTAACAAAATTAAGGTGAAAGTCGATGAAGTTGAAGGGGGAGTCAACGAGGTTGAAGAGAGCATCAACAAAGTCGAAGATAGCGTCAACGGGATAGAAGAGGACGTTAGCAAGGTTGAAGAGGGAGTCGATGAGTTTCGAGAGGGTGTTAAAAATAAATTTGAGGAAGAATTTGAAGTTGTAAAATTTGTTCAAGAAGAGGAAGGTGCACGAGAAGATAAAGAACAAGTGGATTGCGTTGAAGTATGTGATCTAATTGTAGGTAGTGTTTGCTGTGAAGTTCCTGTATCAGAGAAATTGGTGGAGCCATTGAGATTTTCGATTAAGAAGCCAATTTTTCCAACGCCTCGTTTGGATGAAGATTTTGTAAGCGAGATTTTTGTGCCGGGAATATTGGTGGAGCACTTGAAGTTGTTTGCAAAGAAATATGCATCGCTATATTTTGATCATAGCTCGAGGTCGAGCTCTTTTGAAGAAGAGGAGATTGATAAGGAACGTCAAATTGGATTCGTGTTGCAAAATAACTATTTAATTCGGAGAAGAGTTATTAATGGGCATTGGTGGAAATATCGAAAGAAATTATGGAAAAATAAGGGTTTTCGACGAACTCAAATTGTATTTGAGTACGAAACGAACTCTATCTCAAGTGAAACGGCGCAAGGAACGAAACTCATGAGCAAAGCTCATGAATCACGTCAAATTTCAGCAATCCAACGTCGTTTGGACTCCTAAAAGTTCGTTTTTGCTATTTTAGGTAAGTTTTAGAAAATTAATATCAAATCATAGAAAAATCGGATTAGGATTCCGTAAATTGGGTTGTTCCCAAAATTACGAGATCTACTAGAATTAGGATTTAACTCGTTTTTGCCGTTTTTGGTAATTTTTAGTATTTTCTTATTTTAATTAGGGTTTTCAGTTTTTTAGTATAAATAGCTGCCTTAGGACTTTATTTTAAGAAGAATTTCGAATTATTAATAAAATTTCTGAGTTTTCTCTCAATTATCTGGTGGATTCCAGAGTTTTCGTGTTCTATAGGATTAATTCGTAGAAATTAATTCTTCACCGTGCTTCCGTTCTGCGTCATACTCTATATCTAATTTGTTGGGGTATTTGCACTCGGCTCCCCTGTGAAATGTCTAATTGTCAAAAAAACCCCTCTGATAAAAAAATTAGCAAATACCCCCCTATGAAAGGAAGTCAATGACAATAAGGACCCTACGAGCGAATCGTGGGATACACTCGCGGTTCATGCAGCTGGGCGTGCGTTTTAGGACATTTTAGGACCGGAAAAGACATAAAAACCCTTTGTAAGAGGAAAAAAACCCAGATTGATTCAATTATAAATAATCTAAAGTTATAGGACTAAATTGTAATTATCAAAATTGTGGGCTGAAATCACTATTTTGGAAAAAATATCGTCTTCCCCAAAATCCAAATTTCTTCTTCGCCATTGAAATCACCACCACCAATTTCCCACCACCACCACCACCACCACCGGCAATCACCTCGTTATGCCGCCGCCTCCAAAATGAGAGAAGAGCATGTCTTCCCCAAATTTCTTCTTATTCCCCATTGAAATCGCCACCACCACCAAACCCCCATCACCACCTCTTCCCGCCGGACCCAGACACCCAAATATCCAATCTACCCAAATCGGCAGTCTATTGTCGGTGTTATGGCACCATCTTCGCCCCACCCAATGCTACACCTCTTCCGCTCGTACAAGGCGGCGGCTGCTGCTCCAGCGGCGGCGGCAACCCGGATTCTTGAAACCCGAAGCCCTGATGCGATTCTTGCCGAGACCTTTACAGTGGGGTTTTGATGGTTAGGGTTTTGCTGAGCTGGTTCCCCAATATTTTTCTTGGGACGGCGGCGGTGCGGAGGGCTGGGGCTTGGGGAAAATGGTGGATGAAGTTGTGGTGGTGGGTGTGGGGTGTGGTGGAAGACGATAGACTGAAACACATTTTTCTGAGCTGGTTCCCCATTATTTTCTTTTTTCTTTTCCTTTTTTAATTGTTATTATATTTAACACATATTTTATTTATATTTGTTTGTTTAAAATTGAAAATTTATTAAAAATTGTTAGACATTATTTTTTCTTTTTCGCTTTATTTTTTATTAAGGGTATTCTGTCATTTCACTTAAGTCAACGAGCCAGTGCACACAAAGGGGCGGTGGGCTGACTAAAACACAACAGAGGGGGTTATAAGCGAATTTTTTTTTCCGGGGGGGTTTTTTGCTTCCGAGAAATAACACAGGGGGGTCTATGCAATTAACTCCTAATTTGTTATCCCCCACTTCCCATGTAATACAACTGTATGTATGCTCTGTAATAATTTATACAGTAAATTACGGAAAAAAAAAAATCCTCATGTTTGAGTAATTACAATCACTCTCAATTATGAATCTTCTTATACGCTAAAAAATACAGTTTTTTATACACCTCAATCTAATATTTACAAGCCAATATACGCATTTTATGATCATCTTGTTCCAAAATATGGAGCACGAATCAGGTAAAACGGTACAAATTAGGGAATATTCAACATAATCTAGAAGATTCCACTAAATTTGACATCACTGGGCTGGGCATGTAAGAAAATCCATAGTTGAGGGGATAGTTGTAATTAACCAAACATGACGGTTTTTTTCCGCATTTAACCTTACCTATGTGGATTGACCGTAATTTAGCCATAATTTCTAATTATAGTTTTTGCTTAATTCGTTGACTAAACTCCTGGGCTTTTTTCGGGCTTATAGAATCAAATAGAAAGAAATATGACTTGGTACGGGCCTAATTGAAGCCCAAGTTTGTAAACCCATTACCGATTGATCCAATCGAATTAGGGCTCCGAACTCTGGTAGATGACGGTGGTCGTCGTCTCCAATTACTCCCAAATTTAGAAGCTATGCATATTATCACGTTCAGACACTTCAATTAGTAAGCTTTTATAGTGATTTTGATTCAATTTGTTGTGCGAAAACTATATTACATTTCTTGCAATGGGGTTTCGCCGTCTGGTTTTTGAAATGTCATGTTGAATGTGAACGAAGCACGATGGAATTCAATGGCAATGGCAGTTACTCATGGAGTGCAGCACCAGCAGCCAAAAGGCAACTATCCGATCCGAAATTAGGGTTTCGAAATCACCCGACACTTTCGGATGATTTGCTCTTCAGAATCTTCATCTCGCTTCCCGGTGAAGTCATCGTCAAGCTGCAATTCGTGTGCAAGAGATGGTTCGATTTGATCAACACCTCCATTTTCGTTGCATGCCATGCTCAGAAATCCGACACCGTTTTGATATGTCAAAAGTTGACCCTTTGCCACCCCGTCATTCCTCCCGATTCGCCCCGCCGCTTCCATTTTCTCGATTTCGGCCGTAGGGAATCGAATTCGATAGAATCGAGTATGTTCGAGCTGGTCGATATTCGAGCGAGCTTCGATGGATTGGTACTTGCCTTCACCGAGAAGAAAACGAGTTTGATACTCGTGAACCCGATCACTAGAAAGCACGTTCAGCTTCCGTTGGCCGTTGACGATAAATTCTGTGATGGATCGTATGGAATCTCGTTTGATGACAAGGCAAAAACGTATAAAATAGTGCACTTGTTCATCGAAGAATCAGGGTATAACGGTGCTGAGATCATTAGCGTTCGTACGAAAAAGTGGACGAGATTGGATGGACCGGATTTATTAATCGACACCAATGAAATCGCGGTATCTCTCGGTGGATCATTGCACTGGTTGTGTTGGAAACGAGGGTTTGACTATTTCGTCTCGGTCAATGTGCACGATGAGAAGTTTGTTTCGAAGAAACTGCCTGCATGTAGAGCTGACAAGGACCGGCTACTAGATCTCGGGGGAAATCTTGGATTCGTAACTCATGTAGAAAACGAACTGCAAGTTTGGATTTCGGTTGTTAATAGCGAGAATTGGATCAAGAAATGTAGCATCGATTTGGGAGTTAAGGCTAGGTATTTTATTCCGATTTGCAGTTCACGAAACGGGGAAGAAATGGTTCTTGAAAATCGAGAGCATCGGTTTTACGTTAGAAACTTTGAAAACAGGGTAATGAAGCGAATCTATTCGATAGGCGGCCGTTACTCATTGGTCAAAAGGATGGACAAGCTCTATATACCTCATCGGAACACACTCGTGTCGTTTGATAGATCGTCGTGAATTTATTATAGCGCCGTTTTCGTGGATAATGTTAGATAAACTTAAAGAAAAGTACTCTAGTTAATGTACTGTTCTGCTATAAGCAATGAATTAAGGCTTCACTTTTGATATTTAATGGCAATAATTAATATAAATCAATTCTTCTAAGAACAAATAAAATTAAAACTAAAATAACGGACAAGATAAAAATGTGCTCAAGGAAAGTAGAAGAAAAGAAAGAAAATTTATTATTCAGTCATATACCATAGAATTATGATATGACTGTGAATTGGGGTAAATTACAACCAACCCATGAGGTAATGTCAAATGACGAAAAAATTCCTCGTGTTTGAGTAGTTACAATCACCCCTCAACTATAAATCTCAAATTCCTCGTGTCTGAGTAGTTACAATCACCCCTCAACTATAAATCTCCTTACACGTCTAATCGTTTATCCTTGTGATGTCAAAGTTAGTGGAATCTTTTAGATTATGTCGAATATTCTCCTGTTCCACGTTTGCAAGAAACGTGTGTAGAAGATTCATAGTTGAGGGGTAGTTGTAATTTACCCATTGTTGTTTGCTCAATGCTTATAAATAGAAATTAACGATTGTAATATTATATATATATATATATATATATATATATATATATATATATATATATATATATATATATATATATATATATATATATATATATATATATATATATATATATATATATATATATATATATATATATATATATATATATATATATATATATATATATATATATATATATATATATATATATAAATAAATAAATAAATATATAAAATTATTAAAAAAATATTTAAATAAATATATATAAAT